GCGGTGTCAGGCGAGAAAAATCTCGTGTCGCTTCTGCTACTCGAGTGTGAAAAAGAGCCTCGGCAGAGATCCATTTCTGCTCTCGCGCGCGAGCAAGACAAAAAAGCAAGTCGAGATTTTGGTCGGACGGACGGGCGGGCGCATTTTTTGATTAGCGCGCGTTGGCGGCGGGCTCTGCTGGGGGCTAATTAATCAGGCCGGCTGTTCCTGATGTTGTCATATTTGTCCACTCAAGTGGAGCGAGATTTTTTATGGGCCGGCCGTGATGGATGTTTTGAGGTCTGCGCGTGTTCATATGTCCCCTTGATGGATTACACCCGGGGATATCAATCAGTTTAAGCAAAGGCCCTCCCAAGTAAGAACCTTCCTGCAGCGCCCTATACCACTTTCTATTGACTTTTGCGCAAAAAACAGCCTCTCTTGCTGCGCTCGGGGGCGTCCATCAACTTAATGGCCAAGCGAGCGGCACGTACAGGAGGCTCGTTTTCAAATAAGCTCTTGAATCGAACTTTAAAATTTGATATCATTCTTTCCTTTCCACAAAATATTTTGCCAAAAATCAAATGTATCGCGTCTCTGTTAGATAATGATAGTTTTATTTTCTTATCAAGTCTGGTTCTTTTTGTTGTCGGTATGCAGAAGTTACCTCCTGATTATATTCACTCATTAAGTAACTTGTTTTCATGAAACTTCATCAAAATTGAAGCATATTTTATAATCTAATTTTCTAAATTTGTCTGCTCTCGTGTCATACTGACAAAGAAATTAAAGTAAAAACGAAGTTAAATTGATTTATGGATTCTATGAGTTTTTGAGATTTTGATCTTATTCTGCAAAGGATTAATTCGTCATTCAGATGTTAATTATTTATTTTGTAGTTAAATTCATTCAATGTGCAAAAAATTAGCGGCAACGTTGAGTTTTGCACTGCATTGGTGCTGGGCTTAATTTCGTGGCGTAATTTGTTTTAGCAATATTCTATCCAAAGATATATGTTAAGAAAATGATCTGCACTTTAAATTAGTCTATTTGAACTTATTTAATAAAAACATTCAATCAGATCGAATGAAGCAAAAAAAAAAATAATTATAAATTTGAGTTAATGACAATATTATAAATATATTTTTTGTCATTTCTATACTCATGAAAAAAGATGGGATTGTAAAGTAAATGTATTTTAATTTTAAAAAAGTGGTCCTGTGTGGGACAATTTCTTAATTAAAATAAAATTTTTTAGAAAGAAGGTCTTGTGCGTGAAAGTTTCTCAAACATTTAAGCATACATTTTTTTTTTTATAAATGTCTTGTGCGGGACATTTTTGGACTAAATTTATTATAAATTGTGTACCTAAAGAGATATAAGTTCAAGAAAAAAATTCAAAACGGATAAACTTTGGTATCTGAATCAATCAATAAATCCTATTATTGAAAGCACGACAAGCTATTCAAATAAATAAATTCAAACAACATCTCCTTATTTTTTGTATTTCTCTATTATTGAGCTTCATTATTAATATTTTAAAAGGAAATAATCTTGAAAAATTCCAGATGAATGTGATTTAATTAGAAAATATACCCAAATTTGTATTGGAACTACGAAATTTTGATAAAATTAAACCATTTGATTAGTAGTTAAATTATTCTGACCAAATAAGTGAGCGCAATTCCATGATATAGTTTAAGACAAAAACTTGAAAATTAAACCCTCCAAAAGTAACCAAATTTTCATCTCATTTATTGAATGGATTAAAATTGCATGTTTATATCATTGAATTAAATTACTTACAATATCGTTGTATATTTCTTATCCCCCATCACCCCTAGAATCAAAAGCCGGAACATTCATTTTAATTACCCCATATATATTTTAGTGCAGAGCTGAAAGGGTGTGTGTGTCTCGTTGGAAGAAAAGTAGTGTTCGTTGCAGCCATTTAGGCGAGGACACGCGAATCGACGTTCGGAGCAGCGATTAAATTTAATCGGCGGGCATTTGTCGGTGGACGGACGGACGGACACGGACGGCCATTGGAAATTTGCGGCGGCGGCCCCTCGCGAAGTGGCAGCGCAGACAGCTCTCGCCAGAGAAATTTAATGAGAAGCGTGTCTGAATATTGCATTCCACCGCAGGCAGCGCGCGAGCGACGTCAAGACTGATGTAAATTTAATTTGCACACATCGGGAAAGAGAGGGACATTTTCTTCATTATTTATACGCCAAAGTGACGTCAGCCTTGCCGATTCTCCCCCGAGGGAAAATTCTTCTCGTGCGAAACGCGCGCGCTCTCGCCATTTGCATAAAAACGTCGTAAAATTTTCATTTTATTCAAATTAGCGGTTTCCTTTTTGCATGCCGAATATGAAAACAACACAAAACGCGCAAAAAGGAGAAATTAAATATATGAGAACGCATCTTACGACAACAATTGCCGGCGCGAATTAATTTCCATGCATATCCTCCACCGCCATTATTTGAATACTGCGGACGTTCTATGCAAATTTCTTTCCTCTGAGGAACCGCTCTGCATTATTAAAGCAACACCAAACTTTTGCAATTCCGACACTTTTGCTAGTCCTACATGACCTCCTATAACAACTAAGCAAAGTCTATGAAACAATGCCATGACTCAACACGTAGCGATGGGATAAGAATATAATTACCAATAATTTTATTGCTGATGATAATACTGATGTTCACTAATTAACTTCAACCTTTATGGTCTTAAGACATGGAAAAATCAAATATCAAAAGAATTCAAATAATTAAATTTTAAGTTAAATTTTGTTTTTATTTTTTAAATTGTATTACATCTTAAAATAAATGTACATATTTTGAATCAAAACCTCACATTTGAATTATGACAACACTTTTATAGTTGAAATTAAATTTTTTTAAATTTAAAGTCCGACTTAAATTTTCTGTAAAGCTTTTTAGTTTTGTTCTCGCGAGAACTAGTTTTTAATTTAATAATAATTTATTTATTGAAGAATTTGATAAACTTTTAAATCTTTTTCCTGATTTTGTGAATTAAAAATCATTATCTCATAAACGCAATAAAGTCAGTTTGTAAGAGCTTATGAAATTTTAAATTTTCATTCTTGATTATAGGCATAAAATTTTGTTTCCGTCAATTTTCTCTCTATTTTTGTATAAAAGCAACTCACATGAACCAATTTTCGTTTTTATCTCTAATGCTCATTGTAGGTATCAAAGCGAACGCGAGAGAGCCATAGAGCGGCGCATTATTATCTCTGGCCGGACTGGCAAAGCGTTTTAGGAAGTATTGGGCGCAAATTCTCGAGCGCTGGCTGTTGTGCCGAGGCAAATATTTGGCCGCGCGCGCTGCCTTGGAGCCGGATCGAGTTACGCTCGGGCTGAGCAGCTTAACCGCGATTATTAAGCTCTTTTCTCTGTTGTTTTTATTGACACAACGGGGTGCGGCGACCGCGCGGTCAGCTTTCAGATGACCGGAAGAGACTTGAACGCTGCGCGCTGACCAAAGCAGGCTCTCGAGAGCGTTAACCCTTTCGGGCGTTTGTTTGGAACTCTCACGCCACTTTTTGTCCCGCCGAGGCCCAGCAGCTTAATCAAGCCGCTTTTTTCCACCCTCGCTATGCTTTTCAAGAGAGAAACTCTTGTGAGTGCGGTGTTAAGATCATTTTACGATTAGTTGGTTTTCTCCCTTTGCCGCTTGATAATAAAATAAAGTTTCCTCTTTTTTTTCCATGGCGATCCTTTTTTTAGAGACATTAATTCTTAATTCTATGTGCTTGTTTGCCTGTAATTAGAGAAATCGCAATATATTTGCTGTTTCCATTTTTATGAAATTTTGAGAAAACAAAGTGCCATCATTTTGCAAATTTATTTATCCAAAGTTTAAGAGTTTTATGGTTCAAGTCAAGCCAATTTTTTCTGAAGAAAAATCTAGATTTTAGCCAATTTAGTGAAGAGTTTAGTGCTGCAGTCACTCAACGAGCTCGTGAGATGAAAACTCTTGCTTTTTTTCATTCAGACTTGATTAGAAATTAGAAATAACTAGTGGATGTTGACCAAAAATTATAATTTCGTCATAAAGATCTTTCACTTTTCGAGAATTTTAATTATTATATTAATAATTGTAAAAATTACTATATTTCCTTATAGCAGTTGTTCAATTTGTCCTTTATTTGGTTCCTGAAATTACCAAGTTGCTACTTTTTCTCGTCTCCGTGCCTTTCGTATTTTTTTTTAGAACTCTCTTCCGATTCTTGACCAGTCCAGCGGCAAAACAAAAACGCCCTTAAGCGACGAGCCACGCACGCACCTCCACTTGACCGCGCCGCTTTCTCTTTGTCTCCCTCGCGCACTTTTTTCGACACCCCTGACGATTTTGAGGCAGAAAAAAGCTGGAAACCAGTGGGGCGGGTAAACAATGGAACGAGTTTGCGGCATTGTTGACTCGAGGTGAGGACATGAGAGGCATTGTGCGGTCTTGTGTTTGGTAAAATAAACAGAAAATCTTCAGGATATCAAGTGACATCCAGTCACCCTGAAGCCGTTGACTGCTGTGGGAAAAAACTTGTTTAATAAGAAAACGATTTTTTTTTCATCCAAGAAATAACAGGAGTTCAACCACCCATGGTAAAATATTTAAAACAAAATAAAAATTTATGAATTAATTATCATTAATATATTCTCAGAAATTTATTTGCTCAAATCGATGATTCAGTCAAATAAGCAGTAATTTTAAATTTTATCTCACCAAACAACTTTTATCTTTGATACCCTCCCCTATTTGTTATTTCTTAATTCCATCGCATCAAAGGAGAGATGCTGCAACTTTTATCTCGATGCACTCAGCATCCCTTTTCTTCTCCGATCATCTCTCGAAATAAAGATGCATCATCTCTCCTTCTGCGTGACAAAGAACGACTTTTCCCATTATGTTTCATCTCGTCTTGCTTGCTTTATTGTTCGAAGAGGAAAGTATTGAGTGAACGAAACTTGTCTCTGCACGCATTGCAGATGATTTGGTCCAGCGGCTGCTGCATCGCGGACCCGGTTTCTCTCCGCGAGACTGGTCCAGCGAGGAGGCTGTTGCTTTTCTCGGATCCGTCTCTCGCCTCTGGAGCTCAGATCGAACGAATCTTCTCACGCTGAATCAGAACTCGTTCGTCTACTGGAGAGTGGACACCGAATGCAAGAATGATCTGCCTTCAAATCGTTTATTAAGGTATATTTTATTATATTTAGATTTTATTTCTTCATTAAATTCATTTATATTTTAGTTTTTTTTTTATTTTGTATTTAAATTTCTTATTTTAGTTTTAAAGCATTTTTAATCCCTTTATTTCTGTCAAATTGGCTTAATTTTCAGGACCAAAATATTCCCAATCAAATTTGTTTTCAATTTTTATTATACTTTTCAAATAAATTTTTGTATCTCGGTGGGATAAGCAGAAATTGATACTTAAAAATTTAAAATAGTTCAATACTGCTTACATGTGAAATATCAAACTATATTAATAAGAAACAATGAGACATGAGAAACGTTATAAAATTCATTTCAAACAAATTGATTAATTAATTTATGTGCTGCTTAAATTACCTGACAATTTAAAAAATTCAACCTGATCAATAAAATTGTTTTTTAAACTATTTAGATATTTTTTAGAATTAAATTTAGATTTTGTCCTTCTCGTTACCCTGATCATTAAAATAGCTCTTCCGACTAAGTAATTTTAATCCATTTCATGGGATTAAAGTGAAAAGTGCACCCTCTTCTTTTATTTATTAAGCCTACAGCAAAAATCAAAATTTAAATCCTCGACGCAAACAAACACGCGCCTAATGAACTATAATCGTAAAAACTAACGACGCTTTCTAATTCCTCTCTCAGAATTTACACACACTGTGTCTTGCAGCAGTCGTAAAAGTCGGGGATTTTTTAATTATTTGTAATGGACCAAGTCCAAGGGGTGATCTCACGCCCTCCCTACGCCCTCCATGCGCCATTATCCGCCCCATTAAATTTACTCAGCTTGCAGGACTCGGGCAGATGGACGAACTTTTGAATTAAGATGAGGATTTTAAATTTTTTGAAATCAAAATTTGGTATAAGCATTAATTATTGTTAATTTTAATAAATACCTTATTACTTTACAAAATCATTGATAATATTGAAGCAGACAAACACAATATAGTAATTGAAATTTTTACAAGTTTAATAAAACACTCTCTCTATTATTGTAGTTTTGCATATAACTATACAATGAGTGCAATTTCAACTTTCTGATGGGATTTATATTTTTGTTTATTCAGTTAATATTTAATATCTTTTTCTTAGAATCATATTATCAACAGTAATAATATTCAAAAGATAAAGACCTCATTTTTCGAATTTTGGAAACAAAATAGTTATGTGTTGACATAACATACAAAGAACTTAACAGGACAATTATTTATTAATTAAAAAAAGTATTAAATTGCATACGTCCAAGAATTAGAATTATATATATAAACAACGTACAAGTGCATATTAGCATAACTGATAAATCTAATATTAATAAATTAAATTAATTCAAATCGCAATAAGAATCAAAGAGGTTGTAAATAATAATAAAAAATAATATACTATAATAAAAAAAATTCATTTTTAAACGATTTAAAATAATCGCACAATAAGTTAAAAGTAAAAATTTATGATGGCGTAAGTAACACAAGTTCTCCCTCACTTTCTTGTTCAAAAATAACTTTCTTTCTCCAATTATATTGCTGCGTATGCTTTCAATATCTCTTCTGTTCTATTGTTATTTATAAATAATCATTTACACATTTAATTTTTGATATTATTATTATTATTATTATTTATTCTTCTCGGTCAATACAAAAATTTAAATTGGAAAAAAGAGAAGAAAGGGTTTACAACTAGCAGATTTTTGATAATTTTTGATATTAATTTTTGAGAAACAATTATAATGGCTCTAAAATTGTTTATGTGCTTTCAAAGGATGTGAAGAAGACAACCCAGCTAGCGTTTTCGCTCAAGGGACGGCGCTGGAGGTTTTCGGCACGGCGCCAAAAGCAGACGGGACAGAAAATTAAGCGAAAGGAAGGGAAAGTGAGTTTCATGGATTCCCTTTGGCAGCAGAGAGAGCTCGGTCGTGGGCCACTTCAAAGCCTTCTTGCTTTCAACGGCAGGGCCATTATGTTTCCTATGCACGGCAGAGAGACGAAATAAATAATTCGGCAGCTGTCCCGCGGCCTCTCGGGGGGTGGCGATGCGCACCCCTCGCTCTCGATTGGCGGGTCGGCGGCCGCACTTCGCCCCCCAAAGATGGCGAGCGGCACTTTAGCGCCGAATTCCAGACGAAAATCCGCCGCGCGTTTTACTGCCGGCCGGGGGTGCAGAAATAATTCCGACTTAGCGCACCGAGCCCTCTAATTATCCGCGCGCGCGAGGAGCAAAAAGCTGCAAGCAAGCGGACCTTGGGGAGGCAAGATGAATGTTTGCTGCTCTCTCTGCGCCGAGCTTAAAAGTAATTAAGCCGCGGCTCACTTATCTTAATATGTGCCGGCCGCCGGCGCCAAAAGAACACTTTTGCATTCGGAGCTAATTTCGGCCAAATAAAAAGCCGCCCTGCAAGACTTAAACTCGCGTGCTCGGAGATTAACCTTTTCTGCTGATATAAATTTTGCAACAAAGCCAAGCTCCTTCCCTTGAGCGACTTAACTTTGTACCAAAAAACCTCTTATTCTCTTTGATACAAACATTCGCATTTTTTTTTTGATCCTGACTTTTTTTTATATTTATATTTAACTTTTTTTCTTAATTAAATAGGGAAGACTGCAGAAAAATTGCTGAGTTTCTGCAAAAATAGTGTTTATTAATTTATTTGAACAAAGAAAAAAAGAGAGAAAACTTTATTTAAATTTCCAAATTTTAAAAAAGACGTTTTTCTTCAATAGATAAAGTTATTAAATTACTTCTAGTTCATTATGTCTCACAATTTAGATTCTAATCAAATGAGTACTAATCAATTTTACGCGTTTTAACCTTCCAAAAGAATTAATTTGCATGTCCGTGCTTTTAACTCTTCACAATTGATGCGATTAAATTGGAAATGAAAAGTGCCACGCATTTTTTTTTTTTCATTTTTTTTTCCAGTGCGGGTGAGAGATTTTCCGCCCCTCTCCTCTTTCTCTTTCTCTCTGTGTGTGATGAAATGCGAGTTTTTTTTTAACAGACCGCCGACGCAACATCATATACACGAGACCGACACGCAACACCGCGGCGCGCGCTTGTTTATTTATTCATTGAAACGCGGCGCGGGCGAGTCAACTGACTGCGGCTCACTTTCAGTCATTTACTCTGATGTCAAAGATAAAAATTCGTATTTTTTATCAACAGGTGTTCAGCGTATGTACGGCCGGTTGATTTAATACGAGAGAGAGAGATGAAAATTAATGCGAGCGTGCGTCATTTAGAATAAGGACGCGGACGTTTGACGCGAATTGACTAATGCGATTCATTTTTCTCTCTTTTATATTGTGCGGATTGCGTTACATTTGAGTTAAAATTTCACAATTTTCATATTTTGGGAACAAATTTGACAAAAAAGCACTTCTCATTTGAAATAAATGAGACTGAAAATAATACTGGAATGTTATTTTTAGTTCTATATATTTTGATTATATAATTTTCACATTTTGTTTGACATAAAAATAAAAAATAATTTAACACTTTATTACGGTTTCGAATATTCTAAAAAAATATCATATTATTCAACTATTTGAATGAGAATTTGTGCATGGTTTTCGTAATTTAACAATAAGAAAAGATTAATTTACAGAAAATTTGATTTTTATTACAGCTTATTTCAGCAATTTAAATTCATTCTACATTTTTGTTTCACTAATAAAGTCAATCCAAAAACCATCTCTATAGAATGAAAGAGAACAAATACATAATAATTTCCATCATATTATTTTGTTGAAAATGATTTTTTTATTTAATATCACATACTTTTTCCCTCAAATTTATACGTTTTCTTTTCTATTTTATTGCGGGAAAGTTTGAAAGTACAGCAATCTTTAGGTTTTGGCAAATAATAATAAAATTTTACATAATTTTGCTCCATTCCTCATTAAAATCAACCATTATTTTTATTAATCATCAATATTTATTCTTCTCACTAAGTCAAAATAAAATATTTGCAACGGAAATAAAGAAATATTTTATAATTTAAATAAAGTGAAACTTTGAGAATACCTTAATGAATTCAACAATGAAGAAAAAACTGAAGTTAAACGCATCCGCCTAGAATTAACGCATGCACATTATTTGAAACGATTGGGACGGCGACAAAACCTCTTGGGAACAAAAGCGAGCAAGTTATCCGGCGTTTACGGCAGCGAGTCGGAAGAGCAGAAGTGGTCGCACTGCCGAGCACGAAAACCTAATCTGCCGTATATACTTTTCATAATTGAGTTGCTCTTTTCAGGCGCCCAACTGCGCTGTTATTCCATCTCTGGCTGCACACAGAGGAGCAGTTTTTCCATTTGCGCCGCGCCGTTGGATTCTTCCGGCCAATTAAGTTGATACCGACGAAGAATATTTCAATTTGCAGCACGCCCGACGAGAGCTATACGCAAAATTTACAAAAACATACAGAACGGAGAACGTGCAGCGCCGCTCTAATGAGAATAATTCAAGAAGGGGCCATTTTGGCCGCCGAGGAAAGAGCTAGCAAGGGTAGGTGTGCAGTATAATGAACGAGCTTAATGGCTGCAGCAAAAAACTCTTGGCCCGGAATTATTCCCCGGTCGCTAATAACCCTCGGCCTGAAACTTTTGCGCCCGTCCCTGAGGTAAAAAGAAGTTTTATGACGCCTGGTAATGCTCTCAAGCTCATTAACGCCGCGGCACCCAACTTTTAATTACACCTCCTCGCCATCTTTAAATTATTGCAGGCGAAAGAGGAGCGTTTATATTTGCCGCGCGCACCAACTTTGGCGCCCAAGGCTAGGCGACCCTAATGAAAGTGGATTTTAATTCAATAAGAGCTTAATTTCCCGGCGGCAGGTCATTAGCAGCGCAGGTCCCTCCTTCGCCCTCCTGTCAAACACCTGGTGCACCGCAAACAACCAGAAATAAAATATTATGTTTATACACGCTCGAAGCAGACCCGGCCGTGAGTAGATCGGCCACCGAACCGAACGTAAACGACGACGTGCCCTCTCAGAACGTAAACTGCTGACACGACCACCTGCGATCTAAAAGGCTAATGCTCGCTCAAAGGCGGCTTTTTTATTACGCTGCTCTAAATATATTAGTTGTAGTAGTTTTAGCATCAATTATTATTTTATTTTAATTTTATGCAAAAAAATAAAAATTAAAACTTAAACTTAAAACAATATTAAAAATGGAAATGAAGCGATCGGGCTTTTCCTCGTTGCAGAAAATTGTTTTTATTAAAAAACAAATGGCTCTACCAGTTTTTTTTTTTTTTATTTTGCTTGCTCATGAAATAGGGTCGCAGACCGTGACCGAAACTGGTAGAGCCATTTGTTTTTGAATAAAAACAATTTTCTGCAACGAGGAAAAGCCCGATCGCTTCATTCCCATGATCCCATGATCATCTCCTCAAAAGTCAACTTCTTCAAATAAATGTTAAAAATTTCCTTTTTTTTCTATATATTTTATATTATTTTGACCAAAATATATTGTAATTTGGAAATATTTATTTAATAATTTAAATTTTATAAATATTTAGAGATTAAAATTTTTAGTATTATATCCTTATTCTTAAATTTAATAAAAATTAATTTATTAAATTAATTCTTTTTTTTATCACAGAGCGCATTTCGAAAGCTAAATTTGGCCTAAAATCGGCTTTAGTTCCTCATGCGTTATTGACATTTTCCAGACTCTGGCTTATTTGAGTTTTAAATTTCTACGAATGATGAATTTGAAAAATTAACCACATTTTTATTTGGCTTTTTAATTATTTCATGTCATTAACTCTTCACAGTATCATATTTGATAGGTTAAATCAATCAATCTTAAATTAAATCTTTCATCATCAAATATTAATTAGATACAAGTGCGTAAAACATAATTTAAATCTTTTAGACCTTAATTAATGAGATTGAAAGGATAATTAAGCAGATTATTGATTAAAACTCTATTAAGACACAATTGGAGCAACTTGTTCAAAATGCAAAAACCTTTTGTGCTGAAAAATTTACAACAAAAACTACAAATTATAAAATTCAATTATTTTTAAATATATTTTAGAAGAAAAATGATGTAAATATTGAATTTAATATTTTGTTTCAGCCAGGACTATCTTCTTTGAAGCGAATTTTATTGTTTCTAAATTACGTATTGTAACGGAAGATATTTCGTTTTAATAATTAAAGATATGTTTTGATTTTTTATTTCAGGAATATAAATGAGAATCCAGAAATGCAATCCCTTGTTTACTTTTTGCTTTTCCATACCCGCATGTACCACGCATTGAAGTTCCCAATCAAAAACAGTTTTATGTTATTTCTGAATAAAATTTTTTCAAAACGACGCATTTATTATTTTATGTAATTTAGAATACGATTAAAAAAAACCATCAACAATGCAACCGCACCGAGATCAATCTAGATAAGACGACGCGAGAGGTGTTGGAAGGGGAGTCGCGGCGAGAAACGGGTTCTGCAGCATCCCTTGGTCATCTTTGTTGGTACTTTTTTTGTTCCCACGGTCTTTGCCGCGCATCTCGAGAGACAACAAGTAAGATAATGGATCGTAAAAGCAGGTCCGGTTCCTGCAGCAGCATCTCCTCGAGATGCGCTTCTTGCAGCAGCCGAGGTCATGTGACCGCGGCGGCTTCAAACGAGCGCTGCGTCTTGACCGCGAGTAAGCGACTGGACCTCGGGCTGCCAACAAGTGACCGGTACGTGTGAGTTAATTACTAATTAACTTTGAGCTTAATTATTTCCTAAAAAGGATTGGTTTTTCTTTCTGGCCGAAATCGATTTTCTCTCCCGCCTCTGTTAATTTATTCTTACGCACCCCCGATCTATCTGCTCTGGTAAGGTTTCTTCCTTTCCAGCCCGTTGCCCGCGGAAACCACCCCTTTCGGGATTTATCGTTCGAATCCACGCCCGCGCGCGCCTCTTATTCGGAAGCACCACCGTTGCTCTGCGGTGAGCGCCGCTCTATTATCATTTCGAGAGAGATAGAAATTCGTAATAACGCGAAGAGAAAAGGAAGCGTTGCCGAGGGCTATGGTGCAAAAAGCCACTCTTGCGTGGTTAATCACAACTAAAATAAACAGCACCCTTCCGCCCCGCTCTAGGGGCTCGTTCCCGACTTTCCCGCATAAAATGGCGCCAAAATTTTTATTTTCCCCCGCAATCGATTTTCTTCCACTCCGGGCTAAGGGATGTCGCTAGTAGTGGTGGTCGACTTTTTTCCCTGTGTCGGCCAATGGGGGTGCGCGCGCGGAAAAGCGCCCGACTCTCTGACAGGGATGAAATTTTCCCGGCCAGAGTGCCAAAGAGGTGCTGCCACCGACGAGACCTGCGAGAACTCAGCCACCTTCTTTTTGTGGCTCGATTTGCACGCAGGCCCATATAAAATCGGATATCTGGCTCATCAGCCGCGAAATTTCAGAACATAAAATATAGATGTTTTTTGATGAATTTTTTTGTTTGCAATGGTAAAATTTACCCCCCACTAAACATAACAACTATATCTATGATAAGTTTCCAATTGATTAATTTCATGTTTTGCTTTTTTGAAATTTACTATTCACTTTTTAAATTTATTTATTAAGACATATATTATTAGAGCTACTTTAATTTGCATCAAAAAAATTAATTTCAGTTTCAAAACTATAAATTTAAATTTATGCTGTGCTTTTATATTATTTAAAATTGTTTTTGTTTAAATAAAAAATTAAATCAAATTGAATTTCAAAAATAATATTATTTTTATAAATCTTTTATTGATTTTATTTGGCATCTGTATTTTTATTTTATTTATTCTGTTTTACAATTATATTATTATTATGAATCAAAATTTTTTCAAATTCTGAGAATGAAGGCATATATTTGTACATTCTATTAGCATTAAACTCCTTTCTTCCCAAAATGTTAATTTTTATAGAATGATTTCGATGATATATTAATGAACAATTTAATTATTAAATTATACATTTTATTATTGCAAATTGAGTTTATCTTAAATGTAGAGTCCATCTTTTGCCCTGAGAAGTTATCATTAATCTCTTAATATTTCATAAACGCCAAAAATACTTAAACAATCTTGTTTTTAACTTGAACAAATTTTTTTTTTTCACAAAACATAAGTGCGAGATGCATACATCTGACACATTATTCCATTTTTTGCACGTCGTTTATCGATTTGGATACAAAATTTCCATTTTTAGTGTCAGTAACTTTTATCGGTTAGTGAACGATTTAAATATTGGTTTTATTAAATTATTTTGTTTGCAATGGTCATTGCAAAGAAAGTTGTATATAGAAATGGGATAAAACATAGTAACCGATTATAACTTTGATAAGTTCCCAAAATATTTTGAAAATTTCACAATTAAAATTGCTTTTCTTCTTCTTCAAAATTTACAATTCATGATTTTAGATCTATAATTAAGACTCAATGAATTTACTTTAATTTAAACAAAAAAAAAACTCAATAAATAACTTAATGGTCGTTTGTATGTTATTATTTTATATTTTAAAGCTTCAAAACCAACATGGTTTAGTATAATTTGGTTTTCGATCGGCCATTGATGTCCTTTGGCGCACGTGCCAAATTTTACCAGCGCTTATTTCGCTCTTCTGTTTCATAATAATTTAGAGAGAGCAAAACACCGCGAGTAATGCGGCCGCCAATCAATATTAAATTCGGCGGCGGTCAAAGCAGCACTAGTTATTCTCGTCGGCAGAGAGAGCGAAGATAACATTCCGGCGCGTCGAGTACGAATCTGCCTTTGTTATTTATTAATACGGCCGCGCGCGCGAGAGAGAGCGTCGGCGGCCGAGCATGATTATTATTATTATTATAGCATGGACGAGGAGAATAGGTTGGCAAATTTGCATGCAAAGAGAAAGTTTGGGTAATATCAAAGCATTAGAGCGGCCGCCGGTCGGCGTGTTATAGTTGGTCGCCTCAAGCCTTGCCGGTTCTCTCTCTGCAAAGTTTTACTGCGAGAGAGAGAGAGACCTTTGTAATTATATCCACGGCGGCGCTTCATTATGAATGCCACGGCCGCAAGTTAACTGCGCAAAGTCAAAATTACGTGTGTGTTCGCTCGCTCGGTTCGTCCGGCGGCCCAACAGATTTAATTTAACCAAGAGTAATTAAAAAGGCGAAGAAAAATTAAGCCGTCATCGCGCCGCACGCGTGGAATAATTAAAGAAAAACGCGCCGGCCGCTGCCAAGATTACACGGCCATTAACGGACGTGCAATTCCGCTTAAAGTTTCTTCTTTCTACCTCCTGCCGCTTTTAGCTTTTTACCCGTGCGGAATTCGCCGCCGCCGTGGAATGTGTGCAATCGCATTACTAAGCGTTTAAACGTCTGTTTTGTAATAATATTATTGCGCGCCACCCTATCTCCCAGCATTTGATTATCGCTCGGAATTCCGATCCGGATTGCTCCGTCGCTCACCACGGTCAAAATTTTCGTGAAAACTATTTTGCGTCTCTAAAATCTACAACCTATAACCATATGTACAAATGGTTACTCGATTTATACAAAAGAATTATTCAATCATGATAAAAAAATTTACAAAGCACAATTTTTTTTATTACCTTGTTTGAGAGTTTACTAAAACTATTTAATTCATTATTATATCAGATCATTTCTATTCTCTAAATTTAAATTTTCTTAGTCATCACTATATAAATGAAGCACTATTATACACTGTATTTATTAAATTCATTGGTAAGCAATGAAACAAAAACAAATATTAAGTTACAAATTTTTGGTTTCTATTTAAAAAAAGGCTATTTTAAATGAAACAAGAAAAACTAATTTAATTTAATAAAATACAAATATTCATATTTATTAGAAATTAGAAACATTAAAAATATTTTCAAATTAAACATTCATTTTAAATTTCGAAATTAATGTTTTAGAACCATTTGTACAAAAATGCTGCTACTTTTTTTATTTTGTATAAATTTATAATTTTTATTATTCAATTATTGAATTTTTTTGTTATACATAGTTCAAAAGAAAAACAGCCCATAATTTTTGAGGTGAGACAAAATTCAACAACTTTTCAATAGTGACTCTAGAATTATCAAGTTTTGCCCGATTTCCAAAGGGATGTAATCTTTTATTATAACACAGAAGCAGGCAATTTAAACATCACCTTTGAAGACTTTTTTCTACTTCACGCATCTCTAATATCACAGTTAAATAATATAATTTTCGCTAAAAAAAACCTTGTAA